TCTCCACGTGCTCCCCTCCGTGGGAACACGTCACCGACCAACTGCCCACCTCCGAAAGAATAGGTCAAACCCACTTTTCGGAGATCAATGAGCAGTTGGACTAGGGCGAAGACCACATCCTGGTCTTCACTACGCCACGTAAGCCCTAGCAGTCACCTGGGTTGGGCCTGGCAATCCAGTCCAACGCAAGTGACCGTTGGCCCAGCGCTGGGGTCTCTCTATAAATACCGTCCTCCTCAAGAGGGTCAGGTAATTCACTTCTTACCCCATTTCTGTACTTTGCTCTCACTCTGCCCAATTCCTTACTTTGACATCGGAGTGTCTTACAGGTACACCCCTTTCTCCTCCTCATCACCGGCGAACAGGTAGCAATCCAACAGCGTGTGGGCAGCCCGTGATCCCCTTCTGATCAGGTCAGATCAAAAATAAAGAACATGTTATGTTTTAATTTTGAATTAAAGAATTTCACCATGGTTGCCAATACCAACCGTAATGAAATATGGAACATATAATATCAGTTGATTAAAACAATTATAGTTAATTATTTTTCAATTTTTATTTAACAATATAAGTTAAGGAACACATACTTTTTTTATATGAAAAATGAAAAAAAAATATATTGATATTGAAATTTGAAGCTCATAACCCTTGATATATCACCACAGTTATTATTATGAACCGTGATAAAAAGTATTTTCATAACAAAAAAATCAGACGCGTAAAAATAAGATATTACTACGGTTGATACAATGGTCGTAGTAATATAATTTATCAAAGATATATTTCGTAGCAATGGTTCATTTTTAATTTTGAAAATGTGTATTTTACATTTAACTGAAATAAAAAATTTTAATTTAACTGTTAGATTGACATATAATACTTATCATAGATTAATATTTAAAGCAAGTTGATCTCTCCTTAAATTTAAACAATTTTTTTTGTTTATAATCTTAACTCGAAAAGTAATACTATTTTTGACCTTCTGAAATGTTCATGAAGTTGTTTTTTACTAATAAAAATATATATCTCCAAGGGTATTAGGGGTACCTTAACCCATTTACAACCAACCACCAACTAACTATAGATCACCAAAGCTAAAAGAACAAACATGGATATTTAACCCAATCATAGTAATTAAAAATTGATAAGTGTTTGTCATTCTTGTCGATCCACCACCAAGATAAGAAGATTATTCTATGTAACACCAAATTTTTATCCCAAACCTCATCATTAAACAATATTTAGTTTTTAGAGTACCAAAGACACCAACACACAATAATCCACAATCCCACCACACTTTTCACTATAGAAGACTTCGGTTTGAGTCTCTTCATCCAAACCCTCAAGTGCTGGTCAAAACTGTCAACATGAACCTGTAATCGAAGTAGCCCAAGCCAATGACACACCAAGCCCCAAACCCTTCCGCTTCTAGAGCAATTAAACATTAAATGATTCTTATCTTCTGCAACACACACACAACCAAAATAAAGGCATATAACCATCACCAAGTTTCAAAGAAAACAGATCCACAAGAGAACCTTCTCCACACAGTTTATTTAATTTAAACAAAACCATGATACATAGGCATAACACCAAACATCAATGCTTTCTTAAAGTTTCCATGTCTCCCTAAAAAAAATATCTTCCCAAATGGCCCCTTTGACAGTTAACAACCTCCAGATCCACTTGGACAGCAAAGCCAAGTTGAAAAGCCCTAAATCCTTCACTCCCAATCCTCCTTCTTCCTTGGACCTACGCACTGAGCTCCATTTAACCCAAGAAATACCTCTCTTAGCCTTTGAACCTGACCAAAGGAACTGGCTTTGAATATACACCAGTTTCTGTAACACCTTAGAAACTTTGTAGAAAGAAAAATAGTGGACTGGTAAATTGGATAAGACATAGCTAATTAAGGTAACTCTATCCCCCATTGATATCATCTTACCTTTCCAACAAGACAATCTAGACTTCATACAATCCATAACTAGATTCCAAAAGACTATTCTCCTATGGTTGTCTCCAACACTTAGGTCAAGGAACTTAAATGGAAGAACATCAGATTTGCAAGTCAAAAATAGTTCACCATCTTCCATAAAATAGTCATCCACCTGAGTCCCAAATAGAGAGCTCTTACAAAAATTAATCTTTATCCCATAAATAAGTTCGAACCCCATCAATATTCTTGAAGTTAACAATTAAAAGATCTCGTCAAATGGGAATTTTTTTAAAGCATTATAGTAAAAAGATAACTCTTTTAAAAAATTTATTATTATTAGTTAAACATTGTAAGAAAAAGAATAGCACATCCTTAAGAAACTTTCTTCTTTGAGAAAATTATTAGTGCTTATATAAAAAATCAATCTTCATATTTTTTTAATATCACACATTAATAACAAATCTAAAAATATATATTTTTCAATCAATACACTCATGGTATAAAATAAAATAATATTAGGTTACAACATGTTCTAGAACTTGCATGCCAATTTCGGTCTTGAAACGGCTCACGAATTGCTCAACAATATGTTCTAGATGATACAACAACAATATTCTCATGCTATTGCAAACAGAGTCACTCAAATATAAGAGAACCTGTCGAATATAATCCCAAAGAACGTCATCGTCCAAAAAGCTAACTCACAGAAGGTCGTTGGACCAAGAAGGGACCGATAAGAAGTCTAGAAATCCCCAGGTCGCTAGGGGCATAAACTTTGTACCCCAGTTCGTTGACCGATTAAAATAGAGAAGAAAGAAGAATTTAACTTGGCTTAACCGAGGAAAATATTTGTCTGAGTGCTTATATATATCAGGAGAGAATTCCTCGATCCTTGGAGAAATCTATGAAACTCCAAGATTATAATGGAAACGGAGACCCCAAGAAGCATGCCGAGGACATGAATGATCACTTATACTACTACCACACGAACAATGATGTAAAATGAAAAATATCTGTGTTTACCTTGACCGAGTCTACTCAAGCTTGGTTTAAATCCTTCCCATACGGGAGGATCGACTCATGGTCCAATCTATGTGAAACTTTCATTGCCCATTTTATTGCTAGAAAGAGGTAACCTACTATTATGGTCTCCCTCAGTGGAGTGACTTAAAGCAAATAAAGAATTTCTACGGGCATGGATTGACTAGTTCACCAAGGTAGCCATGGTGGTCGGAGGGACAGATGAAAGCCTTAAATGTTGTATTTTTGAGAAATAACTAAGACTTGGAAAATAATATGATATAACATTGAGCGCAAAGAAGACCATATGTGGAAGAATTGCGATGTTCAACCTTGAAGTTCTAGCATAACTCCTTCATCATTTTGTTATTCAAATTTGAACCATTATCAATGATCCTCTCAGGGATTCCATAACAACAAATGATATCCTTCTTTATGAATCGGACAACCACTTGTTTGGTAACATTTGCAAACGAGACCGCTTCTACCCACTTGGTGAAATAGTCTATGGCAACCAAGATAAAGTGATGTCCATTAGTAGCAGTTGGCTCAATTTGTTCGATCATGTCAATGCCCCACATATCAAAAGACTAAGGAGAGGTTAACGCATTCAAATAAGGACAACAAACTGAAATTAAAGACCAATTGAAACTTAACTAAGAAAATGTAGAGGGTCTTCGTGAAAATCGTAGATATCACATTTGAAAAAATTAATATCTCTTATAAGCGACCTCTTCCAAGCCGTGTATTTGATATTTCATATAAGATCCGAAAAACTGAACTTTTCATCTTTGAAAACCATACCATGTCTCAACAACAATAAGTACCAAACAACCACAAACCAAATGTCCCGAATTTTCTCTTTCTCACTTTTTTACGCCTAGAATGTAACACCCAAAGTAAGAAATGGACCTGAACATCCGTTACATTAAAAACACCCACACCTATCCATTCTGAGATCACAAGCCAAACCGATTTGGAAAGAGAACAATCAAGAATAAGATGAGATAAAGTTTATGTATTAGTATTACAGAAAAGTGCAAAGAACCTGATTGTCCGGGATGATTATGCGAAACTGAAGTTGAGTTCTTGTGGGAAGCCTATCAAGAAAACACTGCCATCCGAAAGCACGGATTCTGAGTGAAATTAACAATCTCCAAAGAGCCACAAAAAAATCCAAATTGCCAACGTCGGCAATATTTAAAGACGAATTAGCACAAAGCAAAATGTGGCCTGAACTTGTTGAATAACCTGCAGTAGTATCCTGAAGCCAAAGCAGCGAATCTGACACTGAGCGGGAAGGAACATAACCTACTAACAAATTTCTTAATTCCATGATTCTACCTTGTAGGGACACAGAAGAGAAATCGTTGATCCCGAATCCTCCCTAAATCTAGCTGCTACACTCCCAACAACTGGTATCTGCCACATATATATTTTTCAATTTTTTAATCGAAAATAGGTCTAAAAAAACAACCTAAAAGCATTCTTCTCCTGCCCAAATAGAGGTCCAATAAAGGACCTGATTACCATCCCCTAAAATGAATCTTAAACTGTCAATGAAAGCATTTGCTTTATGTAGTTTACCCAAAGAAACAATATCTTTCCACCAGATAGAACAAGAAAGACTAAAACGCTTATGTGAATATGTTACGTGATGAGCAATATCGCAGTATCTAGCTTTGAGGACCTCCTTCCACAAAGAGTATTTACCCTCCAAGATCCGCCATCTCCACTTCAAAAGCAAGGCCAAGTTAAATTCCTCAATCCTCTTAAAACCCAAACAACCGAAACTGAGCGGCTTGCACAATTGCTCTCAACCCATCTAATGAATCCTCCTTCCTTCACCAATACCGCCCCACAGAAAAGAATTTTGGATCCTTGTAATTTCTTTATAAACATTTTTAGGAGCCCTATAAAAAGATAGCACAAAAACCGGCATATTGGTCCAAACAGCTTTCAACAAAGTTATGTGACCACCCAAGCTAAAGAATCTGACCTTCTAGTCATTAAGCCGCGACTTCATCTTGCGAAGAAAAAAATCTCAAGCCAAGATCCTTCTAGGATTCATACCAATCGGAATACCAATAAATTTAAACTCAGAATCTTCATACCTGCAAGAAAGAAAATTAGTTACGGCTGCCAAAAACTGAGGATTTGTATTAATAACAATCAAAGTACTCTTCAAGAAGTTTACGCCAAGACCCGAATTGCATTCTAAACCGCATAAAACATATTTTAAAGCCCATATGTGATTCCATTTTCCTTCTCCAAATAACAACGTATCATCTGCATATTGCTGAATATCCACTACACAATCGCCTTTAACCTTGAAAATGGAAAACTTTCCCAAAGCTAAAGAACTTCTAACCCGCCCCGAAAGAGCCTCCGCAACAATCAAGAACAAGAAGGGAGATAAAGGATCTCCCAGCCTAAGCCCCCTACTAACTTTGAACTCCTTCGTCGGACTACCATTAACAAAAACCGACATGAAACTGGTGAAGATCGTCGCCTCCATCCACCTAATCCACAACTTCCCAAAGCCTATTCTCTTCAATAAGTATTTAAGAAAACCCCAATTCACCTTGTCATACGCCTTTTCGAAGTCGACCTTGAAAAGAATGCAATCTTTTTTCTCTTTCTTAGCGAAATCAACCATTTCTTTGGCAATAAAAACATAACCTAACAATTGTCTGCTCGAGACATAAGCGCTTTTGCACGATGAAATAATAAAACCCAACACCGATTTTAATCTCGAAGTGAGCATTTCGGGAAGAACTTTGATATAAACAACCAACCAAACATATTGGTCTATAATCGTTAAGACCCAACAAATTAGCATACTTGGGGATCAAGGCAAGAAAAGAAGAGAAGATAGCCTTGGAAAGAGTTGCCTTCTCATGAAATTCATGGAAGAACCGGAAAATATCACCTTTGATAAAATACCAATATTTTATGAGGAAAAGAAAGTTATAACCGTCAGGCCCTGGACTCTTCGAACCTCCACAACTCCAAAAAGCTTCTTTAATTTCAGAATCCGAGAATTTAGCTTTCAACCTGCCATTATCAGCTGTGGATAACTTAACGAAACCAACACCATCAGGGACTGGACGAACCATCTCAGTTTCCTTAAAGATGTCCACAAAGAATTTAAAAACCTATTCCTTGATACCAACGACTCCTTAAATCACTCCATGATCAGAAGATAGAGAATCCAAAAAGTTGACATGGCGTCTATCTTTCATTGTGTTGTGGAAAAGTTTAGAATTCAAGTCTCCGAGACGATTCCACTATAATCTAGACTTCTGCAAAAACATATTCTCCCTGGCCTTCAAACTTTGCCAGAACTTAGATGTAACAATTTTTTTTGCAGAAAGCTAATTCTCCAACATCTTCCTCAACCCCGCATGCCAATAACTCGTCAAACCTGTTGATTTCCTTACTACTATCTTCGATCTCCAAATCAACCTTACCAAAAACTTCAGAATTTCAGCAACGGAGGCTGTTTTTCAATAATCGTAATTTTTCTTTAATCACATAGTCAGTCATGCCTTCAACCTTAAATTTAATCCATTATTTTTCAACGAAAGACAGAAATTTTTTGTTATCAAACCAACGATCATTTACCCTAAACGGTTTCGGACCCTAATCCTCTTTATTGGAAATAAGCCATATCGAACAATGATCGAAAATGTCCCTATTACCGATCAATTGACCAACAATCCCCTAACTGTCAATTGCGGAATTAGATAAAACGAAACAGTCTAACCTACTCATGGAATAACCATTCCCGCTGAACCAACACAACTTACTACCCTTACAAGGGAGATCAATCAAATCAATTTGATCAATAAAGTTCACGAACTCCCTCATCTCTGAATTGTTTCTCCCTTTAACCTTCCCTCTCCTCTCACTATTGTTAGTAACTGAATTGAAATGTCCTCACAAAATCCATTCACCATCTGTGAGTTTCACTCTTAGAGACAAAAGATCCTTCCAAAGAGCTTTTTTATGAGCCAAAACACTACAAGAAAAGTTGTGTCCAGCCACGTGATTTAGTGAAGTGAAAATCACGTGGCAAAATATTAACCGTTGTGAAGTGATTTTCACGTCACTACCTTATTTAATATTAAAATAATATGAAACAAATGTAGCACATGGTCTGTCAGATTTAAAAATAAACAAAAAACTTTTGTGACATGAAAATTACGTCGCAACATGTAAATTAAAAAAAATATTTAAAACTACAGATCTACTGAAGCGGGAAGGAAAAAAATTTCAAATTTTGGGTTGTGACGTGAATCTCACGTCGCAACCATTTAAGAGGGAAAAATATCTGACTTAGAAGTGATGGTTGACTGTGTTGCAGGTTGACTGATTAAATAAAATGACTGTTGGAACTTTTGTGATGCGAATATCGCGTGGCAAAGTTGCGAACTGATATTCACGTCGCTACAAAATTAATGTGAATAATTAAATTTTAGCCGTTATAGTTTGCGACGTGAATTTCACGTGGCAAATTTGCAACGTGAAATTCAGGTCACTAAGATTTTATTTATGACAGGCGTGTTAATTCCCCAGACCACACTTATTGCACATTATTTTCTTTCTCTTTCTCTCTGTTTCTTCTTCTTCCACAATTTGTTTCCTTCATTGTTTCTTCTCCTTTGTTCTTCTTCTTCTAAATTTCTTCATAATTTTTTTTGAGTTTTCTTCATTTTGCTTGTTTAGGTAATATATATTTTCTTTTCATATGGTTATTATTGAATTTATTTTTATTAATTTAGTTTAAATTGTAATTTTATATGAGTTTAATATTTGTTTTTTTTGTTGTCAAATTATCATTGATATTGAGAAAAGAAAACAAGAAGGAGATTGAAGAAGATAATTGTCTAGAAGATTGAAGGAGTGTGAAGAAGAGGTATTTTTGCTATTTTATTTTTTATTTTAGTTTGATTTATGAATTTTGGATTGTTGTTAGATGTATTATTTTCTGTATGTTTATATTATTATTATTATTTATTATTAAAAAACGATTTTTGTTATTAGAAATAGAATATTATATTTAGTAATAAAATATTAAAAACAGAAATATACAAAAATAGAATATTAAATTTATTGTTAATGTTTTATTATTTTTAATATTTATGTGTTATTAAAAACAAATTTTTATATATAGTAACAATATTAAAAACTGAATATTAACAATATTATTAAATTTATTTATGTTTTATTACTTTAAAAACTGAATATTAAAAACCAAATATCTTATTTTTATTGTTTTATAGAAACAATATTATATTTATATTATTATTATTATTTTTTATTAAAAACAGATTTTTGTTATTAAAAATGGAATGTTATATTTAGAAATAAAATATTAAAAACAGAAATATATTATTTTTAATGTTTCACTTATTTTTTGGTTATAAAATATTAAAAACAGAATATTAATAAAATATAATAAAAGAATATTAAAATTATTTTTAATGTTTTATTATTTTTAATATTTATGTGTTATTAAAAACAAATTTTTATATATAGTAAAATATTAAAAACTGAATATTAACAATATTTTTAATTTTTATGTGTTATTAAATTTATTTATGTTTTATTACTTTTAAAACTGAATATTAAAAACCAAATATCCTTTTTTTTAATGTTTTATAGAAACAATATTATATTTATATCATTATTATTATTATTTGTTATTAAAAACAGATTTTTGTTATTAAAAACAAATTTTTATATATAGTATAAAATTATATATTAAAAACTGATTACTAAAAATTAAATATATTATTTTTAATGTTTTATTTTTTTTTGGTTGTATTCACATTATAAACAATATTATATTTATATTATTACTATTTGTAATTAAAAAAAGATTTTTGTTATTATGTGTTATTAAAAACAAATTTTAATATATAGTATAAATTTATAACATTTAAAAACTGAATATTAAAAACTAAATATATTATTTTTAACATTTTATTTTTATTTGGTTATATTATTATTATTTGTTATTAAAAAAATATTTTTATTATATAATATATTAAAAATAATAAAACATATTTCTGTTATTATAATATATTAAAAATAAATTTTATAAAACGTTGTCTTGTTATTTTTTGGTATACAATTATTATTATTATTTGGACTCAGAAAATAATATATTGAAAACAGATTTTATGGTATACAATTAAATATTAAAAACATATTTAGACTTAGAAAATCTTTATGTTTAATAATGTGTAATAGTTAATTGGAATACAATTATTATGACTCAGAAAATCTATTATTAAATATATAATATTAAAAACATTTTTTTAATGTTTAATAGATAAGCATGTATTATTCATGTGTAGTCTTTATCTTTATGTTTAGAAGTGCATGTTTACTAATACATCAAAAAAAGATTTTTGTTATATAATATATTAAAAACAGATTTTATGTTTAATAATATATAGCATGTGTAATAGTTAAAATAAAAAATATATATTTAAGAAGAATATATTTATTTCTAATTTAAATTATTATTAAAAATAATTTAAAAATAATTTGTATTTATTAAATTGAGTGGACAAACTATAATTATAATTTTAAATTTAAATAAAAATATAAATTATTTTTAAATCTATCAAAAAATTAATCAATTTAAAAAAAATTAAAAAAAAAAACATGTAGCCACGTGATATTTACTCGCAAGTTGTGAAATGAAAATCACGTCACAAATTTCTTACACACGTTTGCTAAAATTTTATTTTATTTGTTGCGACGTGAAAATCACATGGCAAAGTTGTGACGTGATTTTCACGTGACAACAAAGTTGTCACACGTCTTCCTACCACGTGAATAGTCACGTCGCTAATATCAATTTGTGAAGTGATTTTTTTTATTGAAGTGAATTTCACGTGAGAAGATCCAGTTTTTTTTAGTAAAATGCAAAAACAATACACGTTTACGACGTAATAAAATTGACCCTTTAAAGCAATTTTAAACCTAATAAACCTAACAAGCCTTCTTCCACCATTCTTTTATTTGTTACATTTCATTAAAAATCGTTTACTTTGTATGTGGTTTATATTCAAATAAAATATATAGAATTTTTTTATTTTCTTTATCAAAACAAGGCAGAGAATGTATTCTCTCGAATTTGAGAAAATAAAGGTCGATCTTTATCTCCAGAATATATCTTGAAATTCACCATATATAACTATATTTTATATTTGATCGTAAAGAATTGTCAAAAGATGCATGGTTGTAAAGAAACTTCCACACTTTCTTTTCATTTTTTTAAAACTTTTGTGTTTTGCTTTTGCTTCAAGTTGTGATGGTTGGTCAATAATAACGGACGATTTGGAGAAGATCTTTGGTAACAGGAACAAAATATATTTACACTATTAAAATATTACAGCGTTTTAATCATTAAATTCCTCTGGTACTTAAGAATTATTTTTATTTAACTATTATATTTTTTATTTAGAAAAA